GCCGCCGCCTGTCTGCCCTCTTCTTGCCTGTGGCTATCCAGAAATGCCAGCAGCTTGACCAGGCGGCCCCGTTTGCTGAAGAGTTCGGACGCCCACCCAGCAAGCGCGGCCCAAGCATGGGCTTCTGGCCCCCGCAGCTTCCGCTTCTGAGGTGGTCTCCACCGAGTCACCACCCACTTCAAGCCAGCAGCTGCCCCGCTCGCGCCTCGCCCTGCGAAGGTACGGCGGGCGGGCCCCACTAGGTCCCGCCAGTTGAGGATCTCCGCCTCGACCCCCTCCAGCAGTAGGTCCCAGATGATCTGCAGGCCTTGGTCGTCGTGCGTGGCCTGGACACAGCGCGTCACCTCCTGCCAGCGCCGCGGGCCGCGGGCGCAGCCAGGCTTGACGGGCTCCCTGGGGACAGCCCTCGGCTCATCCAGGACCTGATGCCGCGCCTCCACCCGCGCGGACCGCAGGGGCAGGTGGACGGGCCAGTGGGGCCACGTGCTGGCCCCCCATGTCCAGACGCGGGGGCGCCGCGGTGAAGCCCGCCAGGCTTTTTGACACCACGAAGTAGTCGATCTTGGAGCCGCTTCCTTGCCTGCGTGCGGGGGCGTCTGCGACTCGAACCTGCGCGCGTAGCTTGCGGATCCAGCCAAAGTCAAGGACGTCCGCCTCCATGTTCCAGTCGCCCATGGCCACCCAGTGGTGGCCTTCTGCCTCCAGGACGCCGAGGTACTACTGGGGCTCTCTCTCTCTCTCTCTCTCTCTCTCTCTCTCTCTCTCTCTCTCTCTCTCTCTCTCTCTCTCTCTCTCTCTATATATATATATATATATATAGTGTCTCTCTCTCTCTCTCTCTATTTTTCTCTCTCTCTCCGCGCCGACTATCGTTCCGTCTCTCACTTCTCTCTCACTCTCTCTTGCGTTCTTCCTTTGTTGTATTGTTTGTTCTCTCTCTCTCTCTCTCTCTCTCTCGTTCTCTATCCCTCTCTCTCTCTCTCTCTCTCTCTCTCTCTCTTATGTCTCTCTCTCTCTCCTCTCTCTCTCTCTCTCTCTCTCTCTCTCTCTCTCTCTCTCTCTCTCTCTCTCTCTCTCTCTCTCTCTCTCTCTCTCTCTCTCTCTCTCTCTCTCTCTCTCTCTCTCTCCCCCCCCCCCCGTCCAAAAGTCCAACTACTACCTATATTGCTCTTTGTGTCCTCTCAACCAGGTCTGCTCTCCATTGTGTAACCTCTACTCTTCAATCCCCACTGCTGAGCGTTGCTCCCTGGCCTCTGACATGTCCCCTTCTACTCTCTATGGTCGATCATCCTGACCAAAGCCGCGAAGGCACACGCTGTCGGCCAGAACCAGTAACCCGAGACTCTGGAAACTTCACCGCGCCAAGAACTCTGAAACCAAGTCGTTGCCCTGGAACTCCACCGCCCACTGGAATCGGGCCAGAATCTGGAACCGCGAACACGAGAACCTTGTTGCCTATCGAAATCGGCCCAGAACGCCCGCGTACTCTTTCAGTCTGCATTAGAAACCATTCCACGCCAATAACGATTGGGGAGTATCCACTAGAACCCCTCCAGCGCAAGCGGTCATTTGGGAATTCCATCAGGACCTCTTCAGAGGGTTCGCCGCTGAATCTCCCCAGGGGGGGGGGGGCTCCCCCCCCCGCCCCCCTATCCCGATCCGTCGTCGGGGACCCCCCCTCATCCCCCCCTTTCCCGTTCCGTCGTCGCCCCCCCTCCCCCCTTCCCCCTTGTCCCGGTCCTTCGTCGGAACCGCCCCACCTTCATGTCGAGGGGGGTCCGACCCCCCCCCCCCCCCCTCCTCCCCCCTGGCCGCCAAATTCGACCCCCCCCCTTCCCCATTTCGCCGCGGCGCCCCCAAACCCTGACCCTAGCCCCAAACAGCACTCAGTACTCACTACGCACTACCAACTACCCGCTCGTCGCTACTCACTACTCACTTCTCACTACTCACTGCTCACTACTCACGACTCACTAGCCACTACTCACTACCCGCTACGCACTGCTCACGACCCACTACTCCCAATTCACTACTAATCACTATTCACTACCCACTACTCCATACTCACTACTCACTACACAGTACTCACTACCTCACTACTCATTAATCACTACTCACGACCCACAAACCACTATCCACGACTCACTAATGAGTACTCACTACCCACTACTCACTACTCGCTACTCACTACTTAGTTCTCACTACTCACTGCTCAACACTCACGCCTCCCTGACGACTACCCACTACTCACTACCCACTACTCACTAAGCACTACTCACTACTCCCGACTCACTACTCACTATTCACTACCAACTACTCATGACTCGCTACTCACTAAACAGTACTTAATTCCCACTACTCACTACTCATTACTCACTACTCAATACCCACTATCCACTACTCACCACGGAGTACTCACAATTCACGACTCATTACACACTGCCCACAACCCACTCTTCACTATCCGCTGCCCGCTACTCCCTACGCCTCAAACAATACTCACTGATCACTACCCGCTACCGCCTACTCGCTACTCCCTACTCGCTACCCGAAACGCAACATTCACTACCCATTACGCACTACTGACTACCCACTCCCCCCGACTGCCTGCTCCCTACTCACTAGTCGCTAGTCACAAAACACTACTCACGACTCACTTCTCACTGATCACGACTCACTATTCTATACTCGCTATTCCCTACGCGCTACCCACTACCCACTGCCCGCTTCTCACTTCTTACTACGCACTATTCACTACTCCCTACTCATTACTCATTACTCACTACTCACTACTCGCTCCTCCCTACTCGCTACTCACTGCTGGCTACTCCCTCCTCACTGCTGACTGCTCACAATGCCCTACTCGCTACTCACTATCCACTACTCGCTACTTCCTACTCGCTACTCACTACCCACTCCCCACTACCCACTTACCCACTGCTCACTACTCCCTTCGCTCTACTCACTACTCATTACTCACTCTTCGCTACTCGCTACTATCTACTCACTACTCACTACCCACTACTCGCTACTCACTTTCCCGAGGCCAACACGCCCCCTTGCGGGAAAGGCCTCCTCCCCGGCCCCCTGTTCGGCGCAAAAGGGGGGAGGGGGGGGGGGTCGAACCCCACCCCCCCTCCCTTTCCAGCGCCAAGGGGGTGCGGGGGGGAGTGGGGGGAAGGGGTCGAAAATCTCCCCCCCCTTTGAAGGGGGGGAGGGGGTGTGTGTTTTGCGAGCACCCCCCCCTTTTCAGTTACAGGGTGATCTGGCGCGGTTTCCCTCTTCAGTGCGAGCGCTGAAGTGCGAAAATGGCACTGAAGGATTCGACGAATTCCAAGCTGCCCCCGCGCCAGCGGCCAAAAAAGGGGTGGGAAGCGGCGGCGAGTATATGTTGCTGTTCTGTCTGTGAGGGATTAGAAGGCGCCATGCTAGTCAAACTCGCTCGACCCCATACGCTCGAAAAAAAAGCAAAAGAGTCCAGCAAGGACATAGCTCATCAAGACATGTCCATCACGTAAACTCGAACACAAAAGAGCTTTATCGATATGTTGTTCTGGGTGTTTTCTGGTCTGTTCGTTACCTGACACTTCAAAAAATGACCCGCTCAAGAACACCAAAACAAGATGACATGGATGAATAGAGATCCACCACCCGGTCAGTATCACAAACGTAATGTATGAAGGAAGATCGAACGACATATACGTACAGTTTCCACCGTCCGCGCGGATTGCTTAATTTGCGCCAGGCATCCCTCCCTGCCGCGCGGACCGCGCCGGGGGCGGCGCCGGAGGCGTCGCCAAGAGGGCCCACGCAGATCCATAAAATCCGCGCCAATCGTCGAAAGTTCACGCTTTTGTCTTTTGTCGGTTTCTCGTTCCTCGAATGTCTCAGAGGTCCGCTGGAAAGCGGCTTGGCAAACGTCCTCCCCACAATCCCACTCCGGCGCGAAGAGCGCGCCAGGTTTGAGGGCCTGAGGCCCCGACCAGGGGGTGCGGCAGCCCCGACACCAACCCTCCTGTTCAATTCGATCCCCGCTTTCTCTCCGCAACGCCGCAGGTCTCCTCACCTCCTCCTCTCGGGGGTTGCTCAACGTGCCCATGGGCCCAAACTGCCCCCAGCTTTTCTATCTAATTTGGAGCCCCTGGCGCCCTCTGGGCCTCGTGAGGGGTGCTCTGGAGGCCGTGGGGGCCTCCTTGGAAGTCTTGAAGGCACCTTGGGTCAGGGGCACTTCTAGCAACACCCGATCCTCCTCCCCATCCTCCCCCCTCCCCTGGCATGCGCCTCGTATCGGCGCTCCCTTAGCAAGTGTTGTGTCCCACAGGGAGCTCCGCCTGCGGCTCCAGGACGGCTCCAGGGCGTCCCGGCAGCGTCTCCGCTTCTTTCTGGCGCAACCCCCACACGTTCCGTGCCCTATCGACGGCTCCAGAGGCATCCGCACACGTCGTTTCGGCGCACCCCTCGGAGCTCCACCCACGGTCTCAGCGGGGGATCTGGGCACCAAGCGCTAGTCTTTTGCGCACTGCGTTACGCCACAATCGCCTATTTTGCGATCCCGCCAACATATCCAAGCCAGCCTTGGTGCTGAATTCCTTGTGCCTTTTCCCAAACCGATGTGAGAACGAAACCACGCTCGTCCGCGAAACCAGATGTTGCATCGACAGCAGGATGTGGAGGTTAGTTAAGTAATCGGTTTCACATCGTTGTTTTAAACATTGTAGTATCGGTATCGCTTTCAGTTTTCGGGGCGATCTGGCATTGAGTTGGAGGTATGATAGTGCCCGATAGTCAAGGAAAATGACGAGGAGGACAAGCCTAGAACAAGAAATGGAAGCCTCTCACGTTGACCCCAAAGTCAGAGACCCATTGAGGCATTCGGGACGTAACGCAGCAGGTCAAATGGCTCATGCGCATCAGATCAATGACAATCGAATTCTGCGAAAACCTGCGCTGGCCGATGATGCCAGAGTGATCGCCAGAAGCAGGCATGCTAAGTCCAGCACGCAAAGCTGAGCCGCTGTGGGCGCAGTCGATGGGTTGCCGAAGCGGCGAAGCATCCGCCGAGACCACGCGCACAAAGACTCGAGGAAGGCTGTCGGAACCTTAGAGGGCCATCCCTCCCACCTGTTGCGCAGAGACTTCGAAGCTCTAAAGCCGCCCCCCATGCTCGATCTCACAAACCCAATGATATTCCAAATCATGTCACTTTACACCAGTGCGCTGCCGATCACTTCAAACTCCCGAGAGAGCGAGCGAAGACAACTTAACGAATGTGAAATTGAACAACGGAACAACGGACCCTCAGAGATCAGGTGATGCCGTGAGATCGGACACTCGAGCGCTTGATAGGAGAGCGAGTGGAGCTGAAACAGATCAGAAGGTATCGTTGTTTTCGCTGTGGGTTTTGGCATGTGGCCGATGAATTGGGGAAGGGGTCTGGGTCTGGGCCGGTTCTTAGCTGATCTGCTTCTAACAGTCTCGCAAGCAGACTAGGGGGGAAGCTGACAAGTCGCCAAAAGGCAGCCTCCAAAAGCAGTCAATATTTGATCTATGGGGCCGCGCCGATCGTCGAAACAATAAATAATCGGAAAGGAGGACGTGTATCAATGACACGCTGCCGTTGGTAGCCCGTCAGCGTATTGCTCTGTCTTATTTGTCCGAAGACCTTCAATTACTTTACAAAGAAACAATATGATTGGTTCCCCACAACGGTATGTCATTGATACTGCTGCTGCTTCCCGATGAAAAAAAACACGACCGCTATACAAAGAAATCGTTTGCCGAAGACCTCTTGGGAACGTCACCGCGCTCGGTCAACAAGTTTGGACGGCTCCCGACAATCCTTGAAACGAATCCGCGATGTGGCGCCATGCTGGTCCCTAAGCCGACTGGGTGCACTGGTGGGTCCTTAGAGAATCCGATTGAATACCAGGAGCCTGATGGCACCGGCTGTTGCTAGTACCGGCCAGCCGGATGAGTTACCTGGAAACATGAAGTAAGGCGGATAAGGTAGATTGGGTTCGGGCCCACCCAAATAATACCGAACAACAACACAAACACATCGGTTCTTGAAATAGGAAGGCAATTAAAGAAGATTGGGATCTGGACATCCCGAAATACCCACTTTGAAAGACCGGCGTGTACTGCGGGCAAGCCAAGCTCGAACCCATCCTCGAAAGAATCGTCTCCGGCTGCCAGAAAAGGCTCGCACCCATGCTCTTTGAGCGCTGTACAGTCGAAGCGTGGCAACAAGAACGTGTTTTCTTTTGCGTGCACACGAATAACAAGTCGAAGATCCTCCAAGCGGGATTCACTATGGGGCACGCGCGGCAGTGCGCTGCCAGGGCGGCCAGAGAGAGAGAGGGGGTGCGAGAAAGGGAGAAAAAGAGACAGGGGAGGAGGAGGACGCTGGCGACCCCACAAATCAAGCCGCCGAGGCGCCCATTCCAGCGAACGTGGGTCAAGAACATTAGCACCAGTCCGCCCATGGAGATACCGAGCACGATGAACCTACGAAGGTAGACACCACGCGCAAACTGTAGGACCATAAGGGTAACAAAACCCCTCCAAATCAAAGGCTGCTCTTGACCCTCGTCCCTGCTCTCTGTGCTCATCCATCTCCTCGATCCTTCCGCGAACCTGCACCGTGAGGAGTAAGCTTGATTTCGCTGGGGAGAGCATTAGTGTCTGCAACCCTGCAGCTTTTCTCCTCCTTACCAAGCAGAAAACGGGTCCTAAGGGAAACGGGTCTTAGAGCCCAGAACGGTTCCCCAAGACCATCTTTCATCCTGAGTCGTTTGTTGAAAATACCGGGGCCCCGAGAGGGTCCCCAAGAGACCGGAAATAGAAACAACAACTCCAAGACCCAACTCCCTCGGGACCCGCTTCCGACATGGTGACCTCTTCGTCGGTGGCAACTCATGGGAGCCTCCATTACCAGCTCGATGCTCTTCGGAATCGACGCTAACCGACGCTGAATCGACGCTAATCGACGCTAGTCGACGCTAAATCGGCGCTATCCCAACGATCACCCGACGCTAATCGACGCTAGTGCACTCTAAAGACGAAGTTGCGAGGGTATACAAGGCTCCCGTGACCTGCTAAGGAACCCTGAGGATCTCAGCATCACGCCGCAGATCCCTGGGAAGCTGCGGGCGGGACGTTCCCTCTTCGGACCAGCACGTCCAGGCAGGTGAAGGGGTCTGCGAAGGCCTCCGCGCCAGTGCCACCTGATCGGGCGCTGGGACTCCGACCAGCCAAAGCTGCACACTCGACAAGGCACTCTTGAAGAAACTTACGGCGATTGCGGCGACCACTGCTGGGGGACAAAATTCGATGGCCAGTACGTTAAACAACACATCCACAAGCTTCGACATACGAAAATCTGGGGCACGTAAGTACCTTCTGCCCCCAATCCAACTCACACGCGAATATGCCATGCCCTTAGTGTCCCACAAACAAAGCATGTGTGCAATTAATAAGATGCGTCAGGGCTGAACAGCACCAGAGTGGAGAATAGGGGGTGACAACATGCTGACCACTCGCGGACATCGTTTTAACAGATTCCCAAATTGTCAGTGACGGGGGAGAGCACCACACAGCCAACACCTCCAATCGGCCCTCCTCGGTAATCCCACTAGCCCTCTGGGCGTAGGTGGTCTCACGATATGGTTCTTTCGTCATTCAAGACCCGTCGTCCGTTTGGGAAAGGGTGCCATGCCCCCTCTGCATGAGCTGTCTAGGGGTCCGCGAGCCGTCAAAGCGCCCAAAATGACTCCAAGAGGGCTCCCGATGCTCCAATATGGCCCACAAGATGGCTCAAAAGAGCCGAAGATGGTTCAAGATTGCTTCCGACATGCCTCCAAGATGGCCCCAAAGGACCACGGACCCCCTCAGATCTGCGCCAAGAGGCAAACATACCAAAACCTAGGGACAATCACTAGTATGTGCCTTCTCGCCTTTTCGTGTCCGATGCGGTTGCGAGGCCTCAAGATGGTCCCAAGATGGCCCAAGAGAGCCCTAAGAGAGGCCCCCAAGACGGCCCCAACACCGCTCAACAGCGCCCAGGAGGGTGCCACGACTGCCCCACGAGCCGATTCTGAGGGCTCTTGTTGAGGGCGGGCCTGAATCAAGGAACCCCCTTCTTGTGATCGACGCCCTCCAAGATGGCCCCAAGATCGGAGGCGACGACAGGGGCGAATAGCCCAGGGGCGGGCATTACACGCGTTCGCTGGGGAGCCTCGCCGAAGACATGGATTGCAGGCGCCAATGGATACTCGCCCCCTGGGCGATTTGTTCCTATCGTCGCCCCGGACAAAGGCCTCCAGGGCTCCCACTGGGGAAACCAAAAGGTTTCGACATGACCAGCATTTGGAGACGAACCCAGCGGTGGCGACGAGGCCTCCCAGGAGGCAGAGAAAGGGAACAACGAGGGAAGGCAAGCGGTATGGGTAGTCACTTGTTTCTCCTCTGACCCACGAGGCCAAGTGAGCCCAGAATCGAATGGATAAGTCGGATCGGCGATCGAAATGAAGTGGATCGGCGGAAATCGGCTGCCGAGTCGGGAGAAGTCGAATCGGCGGAAATCGGCAGGGATAGTAGGCCTCCATGGAGGAACTGGCATCCGAATCGAGATCCCAGGTCGGATCGAATCGGCATCGAAATCCAAACGAACTTCGAATCGCATCGAATCGAGGAGAATCGCGACGAGCCCCGCGAGGCCCTCAAAAGGCCCTCTATTTGAGAATGGGCACAATGCCCAACAACAAAAGTTGTCCCAAACCAACAGCGGCCGCTGTTGGGCAGGCGGCCTCCTGTCTACAATGGACACAGGCCGCGGCGGCGCGGACAGCGAGTCCTTTTCAGATTGAACAGGAACTGCTGTTGGGCATTGTACCCGTTCTTTCCGTACCCGTTTCGTTCCTGCCGGCTCCGGGAGAGCCCCGAGGCCCCGCCCCCGACCCGCCCCCCCGGCGCGCCCGGCGGACCCGCGAGGGGCGCGCACGCACGCGGCTGCCGCCCGCGGGCGCGGGGCCTTCGCCGCCCGACCTCTCGCGCAGCGCGCTGCGCGGTGCGCGCCGCATCCGCGCAGGCTTCGAGGGGCCTGTGTTCCGCCACCACCACCACAAGTTGGAGGGGGGAGGGGGTCTTCCTCCTCCTCCTTCTCCTCCTCCTCCTCCCTCCTCCCTCCTCCCTCCTCCTCCTCCTCCTCCTCCTGCGCAAAATCTGCGGCCAGACGGATTCCACCTGACCGAAGCCACGTTGGGGCGTTGCACGTCTGCGATTTAACGCAGCAGACACGCCGAAGCTCACAGGCGCTGCTGTGAGTCAACTCGGCAACTTCTGGTGGTGGTGGAAAACAAGCCCATCAGACTTGCTGGACTCTTGTCCTCCCCGTCGCTCCCCGACGGTCCTTTGTGCCCGGGTACCGTCGCTCTGAAGGTCGGAAAGATACGTGTGGCATTAGAGGGGTGTGGTGCCGATGCTGGATCTGGCGATGCTGCCTATTGCAGATAGCACCTCTATCTCCACGATTGACACCACACCCCTCTGTGCCACACCCCGCTCCTACCTCCACACTCGCGCCCTCGCGCCCCCACACCGCCCGCCCTGGGAGAAGGGCAGCAGCTCTGACCAGGACCGCGACGCGCGGAGCGCGGCCAACTTCGCGCCCCCCGCGGGCGACGGGGAATCGCATTGGTCTGGCATGTATGCCCTCGGACAGGCGGATTTTGGAAGAAAAATGCAAGATGGCCAAACATACTCACAAAGAGTCAAACACATATAGGAACATCGTCCTTATACTGTGTTTTTAGCTATTTTGGATATTCCTCCTGTAAAAGGACACGCCCGACTTAAGCTTCGCACTGCCCCCCGCGGGACCGACCACACAGGACGGCAGCAACTTCTGCTCCGACGTCGATCCTGGCCAAGGCCAGTCCGGGGCCGGACCGGCGTGCGCGTGTCTCCCTGGCCTGGCCAAGAACGCGTGTACCACCGATCTCAGACCAGCAATGGGGCAGGGCTCAACGAAAACAATGTTTTTCGTTTTCGTTGTGTTTTCGTTTTCCCTCGTTTTGTCTTCAATCCGCCTTTGCTGCAAAACGAAATCGTCGACAGCAACGACGACGCGGCAGCGGCCCGCCAGGCCGCGACAGCCGCGACGCGAGCGCGCGCAGCAAGGCGAGCTCTGCCTGCGGGCGCCGCTCTCCGCCGATGCCCCCCCGCCGCCATCCCTCCTCCTCATCGGGCTGGACGAACGGAGGCAGGCACGGTGAGGGCATTGCATAAGGAGCTATTGCGTAAGGTATCCAGGGTGGAAGCCGGTGGGTCTCCCATCGTGGATTGGCCATCGACGTCACCGCCGCCCTCATCAGGTAAGGAAGCCCTCATGGTCCGAAGCCTCCCTGGCACATTCCCCAACGCCCCCCTCGCAGGGAAGGAGGGGCTGGCGAGTCCAGTTGCCTTGCAGGTCCTCCTGGCGCCCAGCGCACCCTGCTGGTGACCCCAGGCAGGAGCGACCCCAGGCAAGAGTGACCTTTGGGGGCGCGCGGCTTTAGGCGGCCGCGGGCAGGCCAGGTGCAGGCGCGCAGGCCAGTGCTTGGGTGAGGTCGGGCATGTCCTCCTACTACAGGCATAGTTGGACGGAGCAGTAAAACGTATACAAAAAAATCCCAACAGATAGTTGAAACATCGTCCCCAGACTATTTTGACTATTCCTGCTGTAGAGGAACATGTCCGACTTAATGCTTCGGTGGGCCCTTGTGAGCTCGCACCAAAGGTGACTCTGGCGAAAGGCCACTCTTACGCAAAGCCGACTCCATGGGCCAGACGAACAGGGAGAATAACTTAGCGAAGGAGGCTATTGTCAGTCGATTCGCCTTGCTGCTGTCCCCAGCGCCCGATTTACCCCGCTAAATATCCAGGAGAGCCCAGAATCGAATCGACAAGTCGGATCGACGCCCGAATTGAATCGGATTGGCGATCGAAATGAAGCGGATCGGCGGAAATCGGCAGCCGAGTCGGGAGAAATTGAATCGGTGGAAATCGGCAGGCGAGAAGGCCTCCATTAAGATATCGGAGTCCAGAATCCGAAGTCGAATCGAATCGGAATCGGCAACCATGAGAAACAAATCGAGTCGAATCGGAATGATCGAACTGAGCCCTCTTGTCCTGGCGCCTCCTGGTGCGCGAGGCGCACCTGTACGAGGCGGCCAAGATGGCCCAATATGCCTCAAACAAAAATCAAAGAAAATCACAAGACTTTGGACGCCCGAACTGGGTATGAAAACATGGGCACGATGCCCAACAACGAATGTAATCCCAAACCGACAACGGCCATCGTTGGGCAAACGGCCATCTGGTCAAAATGAACAACACCCACCAAAACACCGACAACGTGACCTGTTTCGAATGATCCGGAAATCCTGCTGGTATTTGTATCCATTCTTTCCGTACCGATCTCGATCGTCCAGAAAGACGGCCCCAAATGGCCTGAGGACGGCGCAGGAGGCCCCAACACGGCCTACTAGGGCTCCAAGAGCATCTCTAGCAGAGCCCGCCCCGACAGGTCGATTTTGTCAGATGGGAGGCCTAGAGACATACTTGTGCTATGCGTCCGCCTTGGAGGCGTGCGTCCGACCCGAACATCTAGTATTACCATATTGTAGTGCATCGTTTCCCGAACGGTGTGGCCACGAGGCGCGGTGCGCGCGTCGCCCCTGAGGGGGCGACGCACATATAGTATTAGTAGATTGGGGTGACGCCGATTCTCCCGCCTGCCCATCCTGCATACCGAGAACGCCAGACCCAACAGGATCTCGAGAAACCATGAGTACCCCGCATCGCGCCCTCGGCGAATGACGACACCATACCGCGGTCGCCAGGCCCTAGGGGATCCAAAGAATCCTTGAACATCCCGCACCGCATCCTCGACGAATAACGACACGATACCGCGGTCGTCATACCCAACAGGATCCCGGGAAGCACTGAGTAGCCCGCCTCGAGTCCTCGACGAATGACGACACCCTGCGTACCAGACAGCCCCGAAGGGGAGGCGCCACGGCGTCATGCCGTTCTGGCGTCAGGTTGCGTGAGCAAATGGGCATGAGGAATCGGCATCATCGACACACAGCAAAACGGACAGACGTATCAGACCCATCTCACTATGATAGAACAAGTCACCACAACATACGCAACAGCAGTTCATAGAGTTACCAGAACATAGCATAGCACACCATCAACGAACATGTCATAACCGTCGGTGATATACAATGATACACGGGGTAATCCAATGAGATACCATCATTTTCCAGACTAAGTCATGGCATAATATATCGTACCATGCCAAACGGAAATATAAAAAATAATGGCACAACGTAACACCCTACCATACCACAATAATCCTCTACTTCTGCCAAGACAACGTCGACTATAAACAACACGAAACATGACATCACACTTGAATATGGCATATGTGTGTGTTTACGTGTAGTGTGTATATATCATACCAGAACATGGCATCGTATCAACTGCCGATCGTATCATAACGAAACATGCGATATCATACCATACCACAGCATGCAACGGCATAACCTAACAATGTATAACAGGACATCCCACAACACACCATACCATAACGCACCATATACTGTGACAGAGCGGGCAAGCCAACCTGTACCATCACAGAGCACATCATACCATGCTTGTTCGGCTGTTGCTGCCACTACGGCGACTGGTCTACACCAGACTGACTGACTATGACGTAACTGCACACACCATACCAATGCAGAACATACTATACTACAATGGCCCGACCATGTAATAGCACAGCTCCGTGTAGCATAGCACAGCATACTCTAGCATACTATGACAGACCATCTCACAGCCGAGCGCATAATCAGTTACCATGCCATACCACCTCATGCCAACATCTACAACTACAGAACGTGGCATGGCGAAATCTACAATAACAGGCCATAACCTGACATGATGGTTCCACTACGGTCAGCACGACGACAGAAACTGTACTATGGCATAATGGGGGGAACCATACTTGAGGGCACCAAATACAGAGTATATCTTACGACGCTGCGACAAACCAAACACGAATCCAATGCAGCAGAACAGAACAGGGAGTAGTGTATACAAATATGGCAGACTCGATCTTATAGCAACGTGAAAAGAGAGGGAGCGAGAGCGCAAGAGAGAGAGAGAGCATGTATCTCAGACAATCAAATAGCCCAGTAACACATAAAAAACCACATGAACAGCCATACCATAATACACATGTAGTATGTTGCGATATCATGCCATTTTGCAAATGAGAATGAACGGCGGAACACCAATGGAATGCAATGTGAGGCCAAGGAATCAAATCGAACCCGCCATGCCAGACAATAATAACCATGAGCGCAATGTAATGGTAGAATGGGAGATACTAGATTCGCCACACAATCGAAGCCATACACATACCTACAACAATACATGTTATGACATGTTGTGGTTGTGTTGTCCAATATAGAAGGTAGGTGAACGTGGGACACGATATAGCAGGACGGAATGCACTATATAATGATGGAAGACAAAGCATACCACGTTTGATAAGGAGCCGTGATTGGCCACTGTTGCGTTACATCATGCCACTTTATGGTCGGTTAGGTTCTGTTCTATGCATATATGGCTTACTCCTGTGGCCAACCTTATGTCGGCTCGCATTGTGCGTTAGGTAGAGCGCCGTTAGCCGGGCGCTGTAATATTCAGCACTCTTCGACGATGTTCTTTCTGTTTATGATATAATCTGCTCTATTACGTTATGTTGTGTTCTGTGCTGGACGGGCTGGCGTGACGCCGTGTCGCTTGTCACGTTTGATACCGCGCCCGCTCTGTCGCTGCTGTGCCTCTTTGTTCCTGTGCCCAGCTTGACCTCGGCGCACACCGTTTGACAGGAGGCGTTTGATGGGACGCACTTCTTCTTTGTTCCTGTGGTCGCGTTTGGTAAGTAGCCGTTAATCGGTCGCTGAAGCTTTCCGTTGTGGTATTCACAAATGTTCGTGTCTGTACTTTTCGGATATATAGTCTTATGTTGTGTGCAACAAACAGTGCGACATTCAGAAACAATGGCTGACGGTTTCGGTGGGGATCGCTGGAAGCAAAATGACTTGGAGCTGTTTTTTGGGCGGGACGGGAGGGGAGGAATGGAGCAAGAAGCCAGGGGAGGGGGAGGGCTGGTCGAACTCGGTAGTACTGCAGTCTCCGCCAATGACCCGATAGGGGGCAAACAAGGGCCGATGCGGCGACTCCGAGAGCCGAGGGGCAACTCTTCGTCCGACGGCCACCCCTCTGCACGAGGAGGGGCGCGCAAGGGGTTCTAGGGACTCTGCCATCAGGTGGTGATGGAATAAAACCGAGTCGCTCCGCATGCGACCTCCATGCGCTGCAAGCCCATGACCGACACGACGAACAGGCGCCAGAGCTGGCAGGAGCACGCGGACACCGCCCTAAGGTACCTCAACGTTCGCTCACTTCGCCTGGAGCTCCACTCAATGCCGAGCAAGGGTGATAAGCGATAAACGCACTACTAACCCTACCGGGGGGAAGGGACCGAAGTTGGGAGGGCCAAAGCAATTAGGGACGGGGGTCTGTTTCCAGATGTACCAGACGAGACCACCGATATGAACCCTAAACACCGCGGACCTAAGTTAGGCCACGAATTCATCGTGCTACTGGGGTCCAGGGCTGTGCTATGTCTCGCGACGGGAGACACCTTGCTGAGCAGATCGAGCGTGGGAAGGGGGGCGAGGCAACCCCGTCGCCCCGCGGGCCTCCTCGGAGCGCAGCAGCCACGGTGGCAGCAGGCCGCTATCCTCGTCGCGCAGCGCCCGCAGCAGGGCCGCCGGGGGCGCGGCCTGCTCACGGTGCGGACGTAACTGCTGACACCGATTCTGGGAGACCAGTACAGTGGAGGCCAGTCCATAAGAAACCTTCCACAAGAGACGCAACCCTGGAACCCCAGGACGTCCATTGGATTTTGGTGTGGGGACGTCACGCCTTCCATAGCGAAGCCATCGAGACCCAAGGAACCCACGGCACCCTGGAGCCTGGAGGCAGGCAGGGTGTTTCTTGGCATGGGTCTCCACTGCAAGGAACAACTTGCGAGGCGGGGGTATTTTTTGCAAGCGCGCGCAACGCGGTCTCTGCAGGTTCAGCACGCGGCGGCCGAGACATCATGGAACGTCTGCCCACGATGCGACTGCGAGGCGGGGGTATATCAATGTCCACCGCCTAAAGAACCGACGTCCTGGGAGCCCCAACAGGCGGTGGATATGGTCATATCTGGCCTCCCCAAAGCGCGAATCCATCCATACCCACCGCCCGCCGACCCCCCCCGAAAATCGACCCCACAAACGGTGGTTATGGATAACCCTTCGCCTCAGAACGTTGGATACGGAATCCAGAGTCTGGAAGCCAATGGAACTCCAACAATGTATTGGTCGTAGACAGCACCGCCGCCCGGAAATCTTCCACGGTCTGAAGCCTCACAATCACATTCCCCAACCAACGCCCCCGCAGTAACGCTATCACTGGGCTATTCCTCGGAGACTGTCCAATGTGCAGCAATCGCACTAGCGAGCTGGAACCACACGTGGCTGGACTCACGTGCGGAACGCCCAAGAACCGCGCGGCAAGGGCACATGCGGAGGGGGGCAAACGCACTAGACCACAAAAGGCCGAGCGCCGGAAAAATCTGGGGCCGCGTTTGTACACAGCTCCCGCCCGGGCTGGCCCCACTTTCTGTTGGTGCGGCTGCCGTCGCAAAACTATCGTGCAACATCGATCTCCGAAAAGCACGCTATCCCTGTGAGGCGATTCTCCCGCGAGGGCCCCTTCTGCACACGCCATCCCCCCGCGAAGGCCCAGCCAGTGCACGCTATCCCGCTGCCAGGGCCTCCACAGCGCACGCAATCCCCAAGGGTGGGGGGCCTGGCAGAAAGGGGTCGGAAGATACCACCGCACCACAAATGCACCGCCGATGTGCCAGCGACGTCGGAGCGGAAGAGCTCGGGCTCTGGATCGCGCCGCATCGCCGGTGCATCAATGCTGCGGCGCGACCCTGCGGCGCCATCTGCTCCGAATCCCCCGGGGGAGTTCTGAACACAGCAGCAGGAGGCGGCACCCCGCGTACACAAGAACCACTTGTCCCATCACAAGGCGGGTGCGTCTGTCACAAGGCATCGCGCACCCCGCGCGGACACCAGGCGGCAGCGCAAGCTGTGAGAGAGGCGCAGGCAGAGATGGAGCGAGGAAGGAACGGAGGAGGAGGGGGGAAAAGGAGGAGCAGAGGAGGACGAGGAGGAGGAGGCTAGTAATGTAAAGCGGATAAAAAAGCATGTTTCGCACAACGGAATGTAAAACAGTGTGCGATGTAAAGCTAGCGTTGGAAGGTCGCCTGTGAGCCAGACCGCCACAAGGGTGACAACATCATAACGTAATACCACACCTCCCCGCGCCCAGGAGTCACTCATAACCGACCGTGCGAATCTGGTGCTCAAGCGGGTCTGTCAGGTCTCGTTGGTAATTCGGACGCAAGCCGTCCAAACCACTAACAAACCACAGGCCGTAAACCGTAGCGGCAGCAAACGGGACAGAGCAGGGGGTTCCCCTGACCATCCACTGTCACATAGATCATAATGGCTTGGGTCCTTCTACCGACTAGGTTCCAAAAAAAAAGAGCTACGATGACTGGGGGCCATCTACTCACCAGGTTCCTTATGGAAATTCGCGCTAGCAACAGACAGTTGACAGCGCAAGCAGACTGACAGCCCACCGGCTGCCTCTCGAACATAATTCGAAGCGGCAACCCACTCAACGGTGTGTCGACTGTATCGGATTCGCGAAAACAGGTCACGGGATGCGAGTTCCTGACCTCCTGTCGCTCTTTGTGCCGAACTGAACTAATTGCAGCCGAAGTACTTGTAGTAGATGTCTGACGGCCGCGGCGCACGCGCGAACAATATTCGCGATATACTACTATGCAGCTGCATTCGCGAACACGGCCCGGGAGATGCAATGTCGGGTAGTTTAGCATGTGGTGTCGTCGACTTCCTTGTTCAAGTGACTGCGTTGTGAGTTGGGGACGGTCTACTTGGCTTTGCCTTTCTTCAGCTTGACGATCTTGTGCTCGTGTCTGCAGCTGCTGTCCATGATGCTCAGAAACCGTTCGCGGCCGATGGCGCCCTTCGTTGGGGGTCGGCGCGTATCTCCCTGGCGTGACACCACGGCATGTCGTCTAGCTGTTCGGTGCGTAGCTGATCTGACATCAACCAGGAGGTGCCTGGCCATGGTGTTCTCTGATGGTGGTCGAACAGCATCCATGGCCAGGGCTGAAAATACGGAAATACCGTCGACCACAAGCTCGGCCGACACGGCATGGCCTCCCTCCTCCCTGAGCCTCCTGATCTCCTTGGCTGAAACAGGTCCGCGCACCATCTCGAGGAACGTCAGGCGGTGGGCCTGAAGTCCGTCGCTTTCGTTGAATTATGTGTGAAACTTTGGCGCCTGCGGCGAATTTCTCCAGAGTCTCGAGAACTGCCGCCGCCCCCGCCGCCCCCATGCTCTGATCCGCATCTGCGGGGTGCTACGTATGTATTTATATGTATACACACACGCGGCGCCTCTCACACCGCATCTTGTCTCCCCGTCGCAGTCGAGGCAGCCATCGCTGTGCGCGCAGAGTCGACCGGCGCATTCCGTTGCTGGAAATATGTTGCGTGCATAGGTCCTCTGCGTGGCCAAAACTACGAAATCGAGCTGCGTGGCGTGACTGGCGCGCAGCTTGTTCATGGCCCTCTGCGGAGCGACAACACGCGCCGCGACGCGGCGTTGTGCGAGCAACGCACAGGCGGCCGCTCCGAGGAGAGAAACGGAGAGGTCTGGAAGTAAGACCACCTGCCAGCTCGTCGGCCGTAGCTTGACCATTTCGAAATGTCCGACGGAGATCAGCGCGTCGGTGCGCGCGTCCTGGTCGAGCGTCACTGGTATTGCGGCGTTGGTGAACGCCGCAATGCTTCAACTCGTCGTCCCTTCATTTTGCCGAAGACGCTCTCGATGTGGCCGATCAGCTGACCGACGTGCTCTTTGCGCGTCGTCGACGCGCTTGGACAACATGGGCACCAGCGCTAAGCCGCCGGCGCCATGAGTGCTGCACGCCTCATGCTTGACCTTGAGCTCTGGACCCCGCCGCGACGGATGGGCGTTGCACTCGCGCGAGAGCATGATCCTGGCGAGCCGCATGGAAAAAACCCTGGGCGCGTCCTTGCAGCCAGTGCCTGGTTTGATGTAGCGCAGGCACTCGGTCCGCCGGCTTCGGGGTGAAAGGGGGCCCCCTGGAAAATGAAAGCGGGCGTAAGCCAGTGAAACCTCTGCTATCCTCCTCCTCCTCCTCCTCCTCATTATGTTCCTCCGTCTCCTTCTCCTCCTCTTCCTGCTCCCCCTTCTCCTCCTCCTCCTCCTCCTCTTCCTCCTCCTCTTCATTTCCCCTCCCTCCCCATCCGCCTTCATCCCCCCTTCCCCTCCTCTTTCCTCCCACAGCGGCAAGGAAAAACAACAGAAAACCCAAGGACATAACATGTGTGTCGCAGAAGAATAACACAAACACCCAAGTAAAAAAACCAAACGAAACCAAAGAAACCAAAGGCTTGGAATTGAAAACTAAGCAAAAACCTAAGGAACAACCAAACAAACCAAACAACAAAAAAAAACATCTGGCACCATTATCGGTGGAGCGTAGGGGTGGGAAGGGTAGGTATGTTAATATTGTTTTTTGTTTTTGTTTGGTTTTTCCTTAGGTGTTTCTATGTGTTTCGGTTCCAGCCCTTTGGTGTCTTTGTTTTGTTTGTTGGTTTCCTTTGGTTTTCTTTTGGTTTCCTTACCGTTGTGGAGTGAGGAGGAGGACGAGGAGGGGGAGGAGGAGGAACCAGTGAAACCTTTGCGATCCTTCTCCTCCTTCTCATTCTGTTCCTCCGTCTCCTTCTCCTCCTCTTCCTCCTCCCATTTCTCCTCCTCCTCCTCCTCCTCCTCCTCCTCCTCTTCCTCCTCCTCCTCTTCATTTCCCCTCCCTCCCCATCCGCCTTCATCCCCCCTTCCCCTCCTCCATCCTCCCACAGCGGCAAGGAAAAACAACAGAAAACCCAAGGACATAACATGTGCGTCGCAGAAGAATGCCAACAACAAAAAAAACAAGGAAAAACAAACAAAAACAAATAAACCAAAGGCTTGGAATTGAAAACTAAGCAAAAACCGAAGGAAAAAAGCCGAAACAATCTGGCACCCTTCTCGGTGGAGCGTAGGGGTGGGAAGGGTAGGTCTGTGAATATCTTTTCTTGGCTTGTCTGATTTTTTGTGTTCTTTTGTTGTTTTTTTTGATTCCTGAGGTGTTTCTATGTTTTTCGGTTCCAGTCCTTTGGTTGTTTTGGTTGTTTTGGTTGTTCCTTTGGTTTTCTTTGGTTTTCCTTGCCGTTGTGGAAGGAGGAGGAGGAGGAGGAGGAGGAGGAGGAGGAGGAGGAGGAGGACGAGGAGGAAGAGGAAGAGGGGGAGGAGGAAGAGGAGGAGGAGGAGGAGGAGGAGGAGGAGGAGGAGGAGAGGAGGAGGAGGAGGAGGAGGGGAGGAGGAGGAGGAGGAGGAGGAGGAGGAGGAGGAGGAGAGGAGGAGGAGGGAGGAGGGGGAGGAGGAGGAGGAGGAGGAGGAGGAGGAGGGGAGGAGGGAGGAGGGGGAGAAGGAGGAGGAGGAGGAGGAGAGGAGGGAGGAGGAAGAGGGAGGAGAAGGAGGAGGGAGGAGGAGGAGGAGGAGGAGGAGGAGGAGGAGGAGGAGGAGGAGGAGGGAGGAAAGGAGTGGGAGGGGCAGGAGGAGG